AGTTTTTTTTTTTTTTTTTATTTTTTTTAAAACGAAGAACCACTTTCTATAAATTTCTTTGATAAATAAAATAAAATTTCAAAAATTGATAAACAGTCAGCATGATTACGGTTGTTATTGAAAACACCAAAACGAGAGACATGGGATAAGACATCTAATAATGGGTGGTTTAATCGGGAGTCCATTTTTATTTTTCTGAGATTATATTCAAAAGAGTCGTCAAAAAGTATTTCGTAAACTTGAGTTGATTTAAATTGATTTAAGTTGATATTTTTACCGCATTCAATATCATTGTTGTTTATATATATAATTTTACCTTTTGATAAATATATGTGAATTTTTGTGCAATGTTTTTTAAATTTTTCTGTTATAAAAAAATAAAATTAATAAAATGTTTTTTTTAATTACTAAAACTATTTTTAATATTCAAAACATACCTGAATAGACAACACCTTGGTTTTTTTTTGAATCTACATCACAGGTAATATATAATACTAGATGAGTAAGATCTGAATCGTTGGTTTTATTTACATTAATGGTATTAGAGTTTATTATATTTAAATAATCGCACTGTTTTTAATGAAAATTAATATTTTGTTTAGAAGGTTTAATTTATAACTCTTTGTACTTACATTTTCACTATTTTTATATATATTCCAAGATTTAATAATGTTTTTAAACATATTTGAAAATTCTTTTTTTGGAATATTAAAGCTTTGAGAAACATCTTCTTTACTCATATATCCCCATAAGTAGTTTACAAACTATATTTTGAAAAAAAAATTAAAAAAATTAATAAAATTATTTTTTAAAAATTAAAAATTAAAATGAATATATACCGAGGTTAATAAAGTTGGTTTGATATAATCTTTTAATAATCTTTTTTGAATACTGTAAAATTCATTAAGAATATCTTTTGAGAAACCGCAATACAAGTAATATTCTTCTGGGGTGAATTTGATATCAATCAAATTTGGATCAGTTTCGTATCTTGAACTTAAAATGGAGCTTTCTAAATCATAATGGTTTCTAATCGAAGACATCATTTTCTTTTTTTTTATAATAAAAAATATTAAATAAACTAAAATAGAAATTAAAAAATATAATAATAATATTCTGATATATAATTGGATATTAAGGAGATGGATGATGATAATAAAAATACTGAAAAAAAATAAAATGTATAATTATATATATATAAATTAAATTAAAAATATAAAAAATAAAATAAAATATTTATTTGATTTAAAATAATAAAAAATACTATTTACTATTTAAATAATTTGAAATGATAAATTATTAGATTTAAGAAATAAAAAATAAAAAAATTAAATTATTTAAATAACAAATTTAAATTTAATAATTTAAATTATTTAAATAATTAATAATAAAAAATAAAAACACTAAAAATAGATGTTTGTTTCTTTTTTTTTTAGGATGTGTGTGTTAATGTGGTAAAAAAATTTGTGCAGCTATTACTACAACAAATAACCCCCGCACCCCCATTAACACACTTCACTTTTTTTTCCTATTTTTAGGATTCCTCAATTTTTTTTAAATTTTTGTAAATATATCTTAATTTTACATAGTATTTTTTTTATTGTGTGTTTGTGGTTGGAGGAGTTTTTTTTAGTTTCTTTTTTTTTGCTTTTGTGGTAAGTTTTAACTGTATTTTTCTTTTTTTAGTTATTACAAAAAAACAAAAAAAAAATAAAAACACCAAAATCAGTTGTGTGTTTAAAATGTTAAATTTAGAAACATTCCCAATTTAATAAAAGTTGTTTTTTTTTAAAAAAAATAATTCATTGATTTTCTTTAAAAATAAACCAATACTTAATTATTTAAATTTCACTTAATTTTTTATTATATTAAAATTTTTTTTTTTTTTTCACACTAATTTTTTTTAAATTAAAAATTATTAAGTTTTATTTTATTTAAAATGGCTACGCAATTTTAATCGGGCAGTTTGGGAATTTTTAAAATTACAATCAAAAGATTTATCAGACTTTAAGTCCTTGAAAAGATTTAAGGCCCAAAATACATACACATACTTAATAGAGATAAATATTTTCAATAAATATATTACATATAATTAAAAAATCAAGATATTAAAAAAAAAAAAAATTTACATAATATATATATTTCTAACATTTTAATATAAAACCTAAAATAGGCCAAGATTTTCAATAATTGTATTGTATTTCTACCTATGCGTTATTTAATGGGAAAAGTTCCAAAGAAATATTTTTATTGTTTATATTAAAGATATTTCAAAATAAATAAACAAATAAACTAATTAGTTAAATTTTTTTTTTACCCATCATTTTTATTTATATAAATAAACCCTCACTGACAAAATTTATGTAAAAATCAAAACAAAAAGGTCTAAATTCTTTTTTTTTTTAAAAATAAATAATTTATATATTAAAATAAATTAAAATAAAATAAATAAAATGAAAAAATAAAAATTTAAGTTGGAAATAAAATTTTTTATAAAATATCTTTAATTAAAAAAAAATAATAAATAATTTTGTTTGTAGTTTTTATTAAACCTTTTTTTTTTTTTTTTTTTGTTTTTTTATATAACCATTTTAAATGAGTTTTTACATGAATTTACAACAAGATAAAGGATTACCTTGTTGTTGTTGAGCCTGTTGTGTTTGTTGAGGGTTTAATGGTGTCTTTTTCATTTCGTCAAGTATTGGAGGCTGAGGTTTATCAACTTTAGCCTTTTCAATTGCACTAATTAAAGTAGATGAGTTAAATGTTGAAGCTTTTGGTTGTTCTGATGGTGATTTTCTAAACTCTTTAACTTTGCCTATAGATACCATTTTATTTGTATTATTAGAGTGTGTATTTGTATCTTCACTATCGCTTTTTTCAACTGTACCTTCGCTGCCATTATTGATTTTGATAGAATCATCACTACTTTTATTAATAGTTGTACTGGTTTCACTACTAGTCTGATGTTCATTATTGTTTTCTTCCTTTTTTAATTCTACAGTACTATTATTAGTTTCTAAATTATTACTATTATTCTCTGGTGGTATAGAAGTATTATCATTATTATTATTATTATTTATAGTATTATTATTATCACTCTCTATATTATCCTCTATTTTATTGGCATTATTACTATTTTCTAATTCTTCTCTTGCTAAAACCTCTTGGAACTTAATTCTACTTTTGGTACCTTTTCTTTTTTGTAAACTTGATAAACTATTAATACCATTATCATTTAATTCCTTTTCTTTTACATCATTATAAATATCTTCGAAATCTTCAATTGAAAAAGTTTCCTCTTCCAACATGAAGCATCTAAAAATTCTTGGATGATTTGCAATAGCTTGTCTAAACATTTCAAAAGTTAAACCTTCACCCTCTGGGATACTGAAGTTTGCAAATATCATTTCTACATAGTCATCAATAGAGTATTGTGAGACAGCCAATGGGTCACTGTCTATTTTATCGTAAACATTTTCTAACATTAACTTCATATCTGGCTTTGAAACATAACCGGTATTATTAGAGTCAAAGAATGTAAAGTATAACTTTAATCTTTCTTCAGAGGTTCCTTTAGCTAAAATACATAACCCTGACATTAATTCAGTGAAATCCAAAGTACCATCTCTATTTTTATCAAAAGCTTTAAAAAGTTGTTTGATTATAACCTCTCTTGTATTTGATTCGTCAGCAGTTCCGGAACCTATTGAATTTGGTAATATAAATTGGAAAACATTCTGGAACATTTTATAGTCCAAAATCATTGATTTACCCATACTGTATCTACTACTAATTTCCAATTGTCTAAAACCTAACCAAATCTTTTCTAAATCTGTTTTTGAGAATCTAGTGAACTTCATTGTTTGATATAGATCACGAGCTTTTCTCATGTCCTCTAATTCTTTTAAGAAGTTGACTTCACATTTCTTTTTTAATTCGATAAACTCTTCTTCGTCGATGATACTACGGAATTCTCTATACTTTTTGAAGAAAGCTTTTGCATTGAATAGACCTTTGATATGAGTCGATAAAATCATAATTAAATGAGGGGTTGAATAAGTATTTAATAAGGTCTCTTCATAGTATGCCAAAATCGATAGACCAGTCATTAAAAGATTATAACTTGCAAAACCCAAACATCTAAAAGTTTTATCTCTATCTTCTTGGAGCCACTGCTCTTCGGTTGGAGGTTTATGGTAACCATAGATACCACATTCTACAAATATATGATCCCAAATTCTAAATACTATTTCGGTTGGTAAAACATTTACAAATAAGCACATAAACCATTTTGTTGATATTAATGAAAGGGATACATCATAATCGTCCAAATGCTGGTAAAGTTTGGGTAGATGCTTTGATACCAAAATACTGAATACATTCATATCGGCTTGTGAACCCATTAAATTGGTAGAGTAGTAATTTTGACAATAATCTTCGACGATGGTGGCCAATAACCAAAAAGCATCCTCTTCATTTTTATTTACTGCAAATAAAAGGAACCCTGCAACTATATTCATTGATTGGCAGTAACCAACCTTTCTATTTCTTAATGAATATGCTTCTAACACTCTTGAAAGCTTTCTTTTACCTTCATCTGAATCGAAAAATGGATGGCCTGGGAAGGTTCTCGAAATATCCTTTTCAATTTCTGGTAATGACTGAAATCTAGTTGACATTCTATTATGTGTTTTAATGATATGTTGTAAATGTAAATAATAAGATTTTCTATTTGTTGGTGGTGTTAAACCTCTAATTGTACCGAATCTATATTTCTTTTCTTCTTTTTGTTGTTTAAATAGTAATAACTCTTCCTTTCTTTGCTTTTCAAATGACCCTGAATAAACTTTCCATAGAGATGCTCTACTTGCATGAGGTATACCATTTGAGAGTAATTTTCTTAATTGTTTTGGATTGGATGATAAACCAACATTTTTATATTGTTCATGAAAACTAACCCATTTGTTCATTTTTTCTTGACCTGTTTCTTCCTCTAATGCTTCAAACTTTTTTAATTCTGGTATAAAATTGTCACAGATGAATCCATATTTATCTCTCCTATAAAAAAAAAAAAATTAATAATTTATTATTTTTTAATTTTTTTTTTTTAGAAAGTTATATCCATACCATTTAACATCAACAATGTGTTGAATAACTGAACCTTTTTTATTCTCTGAAAATAGTGAAAATGGTGAAGCTGTATTATTTGGTAATGATGTTGATGCCAATTGTGGTGATGTTTCTCTTGAACTTGGTGTACTATTTTCTAACTCTGTGCTACCTTTTAATCTTCTGTGCCCAATCGAAAGATATCCATTACTTTGTGGTGGCGATGAACCCATACTCTTTTTATTACTTTTAATAAATGTTGATATTGAAACCTTTGGTAATTTATCGTCATCGTCATCGTTTTTTATATTATTATTATTGTTATTATTTTCTTCATTATTATTAATATTATTATTATTATTATTATTATCCTTAATATCCATCTTGCAAATATTATCTTTTTTTTTTTTTTTTAATTTTATTTAAATTTTGAAAAGATTTTTTCGGGAAAAAAATATAAGAAAAAATAAATATAATATAAAAAAAAAAAAAAAATTACAAGAAATAAAATATATTAAATGGATATAAGTGTATGGTTATATGATTTAACTATTATTATAAGATGGTTGTTTGAATGAATAAAAAAAAAAAGGTTGGATGAAACAAAAAAAAAATAATATAATCTAAAAAAAAAAAAAAAAAAAAAATGAAAATTAAAAATTTTTATTTTTTTTTATTTTTTTTATTTTTTTTTTATTTTTTTTTCTCTTATTATCAGAGTTTGCCTACCGTATTCAGATTCTTTTATAATAAAAAAAAAAAAAATGAATTATGATGAAAGTTTTCACTCTACTGAGTGAAAAAAAAAGATAGTGTGAGATGTGGGAGATATTTTTTTTTTTTAGAGTTATATTTTTTTTTTTTTTAAAAAAATGATAAAAGTCAAATTTTCCACCTTGTATAAATATTAATAATAAAGATAATAAAGATAAAAATTATAATTATAATCAAAATAATAAATTTTTCTGTACAAAAAATAATTGGATCAACTTGAAGATATGCGACTATTTCAATTGAAATGAACCATTACTTGAATTAAGTAAAATAATAATAATAATAGGTTTCGCTATATTTAAACTTTTTTATAATTTAATAAAATAAGTATTTATTTAATATATTTATGAGTCTAATGCATCCCTTATAAATAATGTATAAAAGATCTAGATATTTTTTTTTTTTTTTTTTTTTTTTTTTTTTTTTTTTTTTTTTTTTTTTTTAAATATTGATTGAATGTTTAAACCTTTTGAATACAAATTGAATAAGGTCTTAAATGATCAGATGTTGCTAATGATTTCCAATATTCATTACCATCATTTAATTTAATTGTTGTGATTGATTGTGGGTTTATACGGTTTTGAAATACAATGTAATATTTAATACCTTCAAATGTAAAAATATGAGCATTGGTTTTTGCCAATTCAAACGATGGAGTTGTTAAAACTTCGTTGTGTGAATTCAATTGAATCTGTGGATGTTTTGAAAGGATTGAGTTTTTTATATCTATATAAGATAAACTTGCATGATATGATACAGGCCAACTATTCTGATCGGTTCCTAACCAGTTGTTATAATTAGTAAATCGATTTAATACTGACAAAGCGAATCTTTTTGAGCCACATGGTCTATTATAAACTCGGCCACCACGATAAAATTGATTGGGTACATCCCTAATAAAAGTAAAGTCATGGTCATAGCTAGGTTCAAAGACATTTGAAATCTTTACCTTATTATTTGAAATAAAAAGAGTTACAGTACTATCATTTCTAATACAATAGTCACTTAATGCCATATTATTAGCCAATACCTTTGAGCCATATAACAATACCATTTTATCAGGTTCTATGTTTTGTTCATATTTTTCATTCAAATATTTCTTCAATGATAATATACTAATATTTGATTCAGTGCTAATTTGATAAAATTTACCTACAAAATTTCTAATAAAAATATTTAAGACAACTGAAGAACCATTACCATTTAATGTGTTGCTTTCATTATTTACTTGACTTCTAATACCATGAATTAATTGTGAATAATCTACATAACTTATATTAACTTCATTTTGATTACCAGCTCCATCATCCTCTACAACATCTACGTTTAAAACTGATTTCAATCCAGCTTTTAATAATATATTCATTTTTTATTATTATATTATTATTTTTTCAATGATTAAAATAATATTAAAAAAAAAAATATATATAAAAACTTTTTTTTTAAAAACTTAAAAATTTTTACAAAACTTAAAAAAATTAACTTTAAATAGGGGTGATCTACAAAATAATTAAGGAATGATGAATCTCTAACACTTTTTTTGGTTTTATTATAATATTATATATTTTATATTATTGATAATAAATTTTTGTTTTATTTTTTTTTTTTTTAAAAAAAAAATTTTAATATTGTCGCTTGGATATTTATTGATTGATTGTTGTTAATGGTTGGTTATTTTATTTGTTGGTTGTTATTTTATTATTACTATTACTATTACTATTACTATTATTAAAAATGAATTTAATTTTTGATTTAATCTAAATATTTCTTTTCTCTTTGAATTTTAGCTCTTTTATTGGCATCTAATTCTCTCTTTCTTAAACGAATGCTTTTTGGTGTAATTTCAATTAATTCATCTTCTTTAACACTTGAAATAGCTTCTTCGAGTTTTAATAATTTTGGTGGTTGTAAACGAACACCTTCTTCTTTTGATGTAGTTCTAATATTGGTTAATTGTTTAGCTTTAACTGGATTGACATCTAAATCTTGAGATTTTGAACTTTCACCAATAATCATACCTGAATAAACTTGAGTTTGTGGACCAATGAATAAGGTACCTCTATCTTCGATGTATGATAAAGAGTGAGAAGTTGCAGTACCATCACTCATTGAGACGAGACAACCTTTTTCTTTATTATCCATAGCACCTTTATGTGGGATGTAAGAGTGGAAAAGATGATTCATAACACCAGTACCTTTAGTATCGTTGATTAATTCACTTCTAAGACCAATTAAACCTCTTGATGGTACAAGGAAAACTAAACGTGATTTACCCATAGATTGCTTCATTTCGATGATATCACCTTTTCTCTTTGAAAGTTTTTCGATGATGTTACCTGAATATTCTGAATCGACATCAATTGTAACTTCTTCTTGTGGTTCGAGTAAAGTGTTATTTTCATCTCTCTTGAAAACTACTTTTGGTTGTGATACTGAAACTTCAAAACCTTCTCTTCTCATATTTTCTAAAAGAATACCTAATTGAAGTTCACCACGACCTTTAACTTCAAAGGTTTCACCATTGGCAATAACTTGTAATGAAACATTTGATTCAATTTCTTTGAAAAGACGTGATTTGATTTTTAATGTAGTGCATTGGGTACCTTCTTTACCTGCAAGTGGTGAGTTGTTTGCTTCGAAATGCATTGAAATGACTGGTGGATCAATTGGAATGGCTGGAATGGCTTCTTTAATACCTTCGGCAATAATTGAATTTGTAACGGTGGCATTTGGGAAACCAGCAATACCGATAATATCACCAGCTTCACCTTCTTCAAGAATGATTCTTTCGGTGGCACGACGACAAAAGATTTTAGTAATTTTACCTTCTTCAATAACATCACCGCTCATGGTGACAACACGGAGTGGACTTCCGATTTTAGCTTTACCACTGTAAACTTTACCAGTAACGATTCTACCAACGAATGGATCGGATTCTAAATTGGTAACTAACATTGAGAATGGTTCTTCTGGTTTAACGTTTGGTGCACTGACATAATCGACGATGGTATCTAATAATGGAAGGATATCTTTTTTGTCATCATCACGGTTTTTGACGGCCCAACCTTGACGACCTGAAGCATAAAGAGTTGGATAGTTAAGTTGTTCATCGTTGGCACCCAAGGTAGCGAATAAATCGAAAATTTCATTTTCAACTTCATCGACACGAGCAGTTGAACGATCTAATTTGTTAATGACAACAATTGGTTTAAGACCAGCACCTAAAGCTTTTGAAAGAACAAATTTAGTTTGAGCCATTGGACCTTCTGTGGCATCTACTAATAAAACTACACCATCGACCATAGAAAGAACACGTTCTACTTCACCACCGAAATCACCGTGACCTGGTGTATCTACAATATTTAATTTATGGTTTTTATAATCAAAAGATGTGCATTTGGCCATAATAGTAATACCTCTTTCTTTTTCTAATTGATTTGAATCCATAACTCTTTCATCCTTTTCAGTTTCTTTAATTGCACCACTTTGACGTAATAATTGATCGACTAATGAAGTTTTACCGTGATCGACGTGAGCAATAATTGCAACATTTCTAATCTTTTCATATGAGTGTGAATAATATCTAACAATTTGAATCTTCATTTCGTTATTATTATTTTTATTATTTAATAATGTGGTATTGTTTAATTTTGGTAAATTAAAAGTTGATCTAACATTATTTTGAACATTTGATCTTGTGAAAAAATTTCTTTGTTGTGGTTGTGGTTGTGGAACTGAAGTAGCTTTATTTTCACTTACAAATGATGCACCAATGGATCTTAATGATGCATTATTTGTTGAGTTGACTAAATTATTTAAAGTTTTGGTAGTATTTGAAACTACCTTTCTGGTAACTTTATTTAATGAAATCATTTTTTTTTTTTTATTTTTTTTTTTATAAAATTAAATCGGAGTTAATATATTTAATTTGTAAAAAAATAAATAAATATGAAAATAAATAAAATGATATTTAAAAAAAAAAATAAAAAGACGAAAATAAAAAAATTTTCGTTTTATAAAAAAAAAAAAAAAAAATAAAAAAAAATAAAATAAAAAAAAAAAATTTAAAAAATTAATCCCTTAATTTTTTATGTGTGCCCCTATAGGGTTAATGGAAGATATAATGCTTTATCAAAAATTATTAAAATTTTATATTGTGGAATAAAAAGATAATATAATTACAAATAAATAAATAAATAAATAAATAAATAAATAAATAAATAAATAAATAAATAAATAAATAAATAAATTAATAATTATGCATTTTTTAATGAAAAATAAAAAAACCATTTTTGGTCAAATTCTTCGCGAATTCGGTTGATATATCGTCATATATCATTTTTTTTTCTAAAAATTTAATTTAATTTTGTATAAGGTTCCAAAACAAAAATTATAATAAAATAAATTAAAAAAATATTTTTATTATAAATTTAGAAAGAAAATATCTCTTTTAAACAATTGTCAAAAATTTTTTTTTTTTTTTTTTTTTAATATAATACAAATTTTTATTATAACTACTTTTTTAAAATACTTATTATATGTTTATATTTCTAAAATCACGCAATCAAAAGTTTCTTAGATTTCAAAGATTTATTTTAAATTTATTTTAAATATTTTTTTAAAATTATTTAAAGTTTTTAAGTTTTTTTTTTTTGAAAAACAAAATAAAACAAAATCATAATATTTTTTTCCGTATTGCAAATGGATTTTCCTTACTTATCATTAAAAGAAGAAAAAATGGTTGAAAACAACAGTAGTAGTAATGATAATGGTTACGAAGAAAATAAAGTATACAGGTTTTCAGTAGAAAAAGAAGATGGTGTCCATGACGGGGAAAATAGTAAATTTTACAGCACAAGCAGCAAAATAATATTGATAATCAAAAATTATTACAAAAAGAACTATAAAGAAATATTAAAAAACACGATGGTTCAATTAATATTTTTAGCAATTGCTATTGGAATCTGTGCACCAATTTCAATTATTGTTTATAATAGCCCTCCTAAAAAATATCAAGGAACTTCAATCTCGATACAAAACACAGATCTATATTTTGATCCAAGAAATATGTCAAGTTTTGATAAAATGGACGTTGAACCAAATGTTTATTTAAATTGTCATACCCATACCTATTATTCTGATGGTTCATTATCACCAGAGATGACAATACAATACCACATTTTAAATGGGTATAATGTTATGTTTATGACCGATCATAACATGATTTCAGGAGGTTTGGCAGGTCAAAAAATAGCACAAGAGAAATACAGCGATCAAATTTTAGTTATACCCGGTATAGAATGGACTAATTGTCGTGTATGTATTTTCTTATCGTATCCGCACCTATTATTGTAATGTATATTAATATAAATTTTATTTTTATTATATTTAGTGTCATTTAAATTTGATTGGAATTGAGGAAGATGTACCTCTTATTAAATGGCCAACAAACCAAGAAATTAAAGAATTAATAGATTATGTTCATTCAAAAGGTGGATTGGTTATACTTAATCATTACCCATGGTCAGAATGGGCTGGCCTATCGCAACCATCAATGCAAGAGTGGATCGAAATGGGTATTGACTTTTTAGAGGTTGTTAATGGTATCACAGTCGATTATCAAGGTATTGTGTTTAGCAAGCAAAATAACCTTCGTTATGTTACTGGTACCGATTTGCATTTCGATGAAAGAGCTTCAGGGTGGACTGTATTAAACGTACCTATCAACCATACCTTATCACCAACTGATAAGATTAGTTCAGTTGTACCATACTTAACCAAAGAGTCAGTTTTAAAAGCACTCAGAGATAAATCAACCCAAATCTCATTTTTATTCGATGCAAAAGGTTCAATTATTCAAGCCACTTCCCAACATTCTTCCTTTAACCCAAAATATACTTTTTATTCAGCCTGGATCAATCTTGGACGTCTCTTCCACTCTTATTTCGAATTACAAAGAGGAATGTATAGTTTTGTTGATGGCTCTTGTACAGATGTAATAACAGTTGTTTATGGTTCTCAAATCGCCTGCTTGGTAGCTTGGATTATCATAATGTTCTTTTGTTTTAAATTTTTATTTTACATTTTAAGAAAATGTGCACAATTATTAATTATAAAACTATATTCAAAAAAGAAACAATTTAAATAAAAATTGGAGGACCAATTGTAATTTTTTGATTCTTTATTAAAAACTTGATTAATGAATATATTAATCTTTGTAAAGAGTGATCGATGAACACTCCCATTTGATTATAAATTAAATATAAATAAACATATAAATTAATTTTATTATAATTTAATTTTATAAAAAAAATAAAAAATAAAAAAAAACCATTTTACATTTTTCTTTTTTTTTAATTTTTTAATTTTTTTATTTTTTTAAATTTTTTTAAAATTTTTTTTTTGAACACACTTTTTTTTTTTTCATTTTTCATTTCACATCAATAATTAAATACATATAATATCTAAAAATGTTTGGTAGATTTGCTCGTGCTTTTCCAAAAATGATGGGTTCAACCTCATTCAGAACTTTTGCCACCGGTAATTATTCCTTTTTGATTGTTTAAAAAAAAAAAAAAAAAAAATACTGACCTTACTTTCTTTTTTTTTTTTTTTAAAAAATTAGCTGGTAGCAATGCTTTTGCTAAATCAATCAGCAACAAAAAATTAGTTGTTGGTTCAGTTGTTGTTGCTTCAACCATTGCCACCACCACCCTTGTTTCATGTGCTGATAAAGTTCCATTCACTGGTCTCCCAGGTACCAACTATGAAAGAACCTTCATCGCCATTAAAGTATTTATTATTTTTTCTTTTATATTATTATTTTCCGATGATTCTAATTTTTTTTTTTTTTTAAAACTATAGCCAGATGGTACTGAAAGAAGATTAGTCGGTGAAATCATTGGCCGTTTCGAAAAGAAAGGTTGGTTTTATTAGGTTTATTTTGTTATTAAATTATAATTTTAAATATTAATAATTATTTTTTTAATTTCCTTAGGTTTCAAATTAGTTGGTATTAAAATCCTCCACCCAACTCCAGAACAAGCCGCTAAACATTATGATGACTTAAAATCAAAACCATTCTTTGATGGCTTAGTTAAATATTTCTCAAGTGGTGCCGTTGTTTGCAGTAAGCATACTCTATTTTTTTTTTTTTCTTTTTCTTCTTTTTCTTTTTCTAATTTTTTTTATAATTATAGTGGTTTGGGAAGGTAAAGATGTTGTTAAAACTGGTAGAAAATTAATTGGTAAATATACAAGAATAGCATAACATAATAAATTCAAATATTATTCATACTAATACCATTAAATTTTTTAAATAATTAGGTGAAACCAACCCAGCTTTAAGTGTTCCAGGTTCAATTAGAGGTGATTTATGCATTGAAGTCGGAAGAAATATTATTCACGGTAAATATTTTCATAATAAGCAATTATTAAAATAATTAATCATCATACTAATTTATATTAATTTGTTTTTTAGGTTCTGATTCAACTCAATCAGCCAATGATGAAATTACTCTCTGGTTCGGTGAAACTGAAGTCACCAACTATGAAAGCCCATTAGAAAAATTCATTTATGAAAGAAAATAAATGGAGAGAAGGTTCAATAATATAATTTTTAAATAAAAGTAATATTAAATATATAAAAAGTATTGTGATATATAATCAAAAATAATAAATATGGGTTTTTAATCCTTCAAAACAAAATTTTAATTTTTTTTTTTTTTTTAACTTTTTTTTTTTTATCATTTATAAAGTAAAAAGAAGGTTTTTTATAAATATTTAGAATTAATTTTATAACTTTGTTATTAAATTAAAAATATAGATCTATATTATCTTTATTATTAAATTAATTATTATTATTACTACTTTTATAGTATTTTTTAAGAGTATCGAAACCATCTTTTATTGAAGATAGACCGGTGGTGGAGCTACTTAAATTTATATTATTACCATTTACACTGATATTACTACTATTTGGTGAATTTAAATAATTTGAACCTACAGAAATTGAACTACTATTGTTATTACCGTTTGATTCTCTTGGTTCTCTTGATAGGGATAAGTGATAAAGTTCAGCTGGTGTCGATGATGGGAGTTCAGTTAAAAGTGTATGAATTGGTTCGACTACTGGGTAATCATATTTACTAAAGTTTTGACATTGTTGTACTTCTGAGATTACTCTACAAATTAATTCTCTCTTTTGGAAGTTGATTAAACCATTGATTTTATCTGGGTTACCATCTTCCATAAAAGTTAAATCTGATAAAATGACTGGTAAGTATGGCAAAAATGGTGGATTCTTTGGAACACTTCTATAGTTTTTATATGATCCTGATGAATTCATTAACTTTTCTAAACTATTATAAATTGCTAACGAGTTTGGTGATAGCATTGCAAAAGTTTTCTTTAATCTTAAAATTGGAGCTGTATTTAAACCTGTAAAAATTGCTAATAATGTATTAAAATTATTCATATCCCTCAAATGCTAGAATGAAGAAAATAAAAAAAAAATTAATATGAATTAAAAATTAAATACCTGATTATATACATTTTAATTAAAAATTTACCTTTGCAATAATAATGAATTTTTCAAAAACTTTAGCTCTTTCTTCAATAGTTTCTTGCCATAAGATTTGTGATGAAACCCAAAATGAAAATTTATTTGCTCTGTTGATCATTTCAATAACATTTGGTGATTTGAATTTTAATGAATCTTTATTCCAAGCTTGATCTAAAAGTTCAGTTGGTTGAATTTTTAAGAATATATTAAAATCGATTAAAGTGAGTTGACGAGCAATTTCTGATTCGTTTAACAATAAGAATAAGGCAGTTGGGGATTTTTGACCATCGGGTATCATAAGTTCTGGGAATGTTAATAGACTTGTTGTGGTTCTATCTTTTAATTGATTTCTTTCAATCTCTTTTTTCTTAATTAGGCCTCCAAGAATAACTGCAAGATCATTGTTGTTATCCATAAGTAATCTAGTTCTAAATTCTTTAACTTGAGCGATTAGTTGTTCATCAAAATCATTGAAATTCTTTTCGATCCAAGTTTGCATAAATGATACAACACGTAATTGGGTAATGGCTTTAAGTTCTGGTTTTTCATCTGCTGGTATATTATAACGTTGGATAAGTTTTTCCATTAATTTCCATGGATTAGTAAATGATTGGTAGGTGAGTAAAAAGGTTTTGGTGTAACGAGAAATATCGTGTTTGTTATCTTGAGTTAATGCTGAGATCAATCTGTTTAGTGTACCAGCTTTTGGAACATATCTACCAGTTTTACTACCTTCATCAGAAATCCAATCTACTTTGAATGTTGATGGGCCATCGGGTTCATCCCAAATGTTTATATCTTCTTCTGAATCGATATTAGGTACGACTACATCGTCTTGATTAGAAGTGTTGGTTGAAATATAAATTTTATTCTCGACTGCGTCCATCAAGAATGATAGCGATTCAACAAAACTTTTGGCGGCTGCAAACAATTGGAGTTGTTGACCAATATCCCAGGGTCTAGTATTAATGCTAATAACAATAATTGTAATTTGAATTGCAATAACTCTTACAGAATGGCAAAGTGAGTGAATTGACTTGTCAAGATTAGAAAGTACAGTATGTCTAAAGAGTTTAGTAGCTGCAGTAACGAGTGTTGGATCAACTTTACCACTTTTACCCTTCATATTTGGTATCAATACTTTAATGTTCTTTAAGAAAACGCTGCAAAGTGAAGATGATGGATCAATTTTACCAAAGCTTAGTGATGACTCTAACATTGATTCTAAATGATCCAAAGTCGAAATAAACATTGGTTTGATGTCGCTATTTGAATGATTAACAATAACTGATGTTTCAAAGCATTTTCCAACCAACTCTAATGCTTCTTCTGCGAATGCACTCGAGGTTGATACTAAATTTTCCGAAGGATCATTTTCATTTGATGTATTCATGGAACTATCATCGATTGTTGAAAGGTTACCAAAGCTTGTATTCATAAGATTAAACTGACCCTTCTTTCTAATTGTACCAAGTTTTCTTGAAATTTTTGTTTGAATTGATGATCTGCTATGTTCACGGCCATCGAAAGTACCATTTTCATAAAGTTTTTTAAGAGTTGGCGATACATCATAGCTATTTTCAGAGTTTAGAATTGGTGAAACGTCACTTGGTGTACTATTATTATTTACTGATGATGAAGATGAAGAAGAACTATCACTAACTTCATCGTGATAGGTTTGAATAACATTACCAATTTGTTCCATAATATTTGAAATAACTTCATTATTTTGCATTTGGAATTCTTTTTCAAAACTTGGGAAACTTGCAGATATGATTGATAAAATTTGTTTTGCTGATTCATGTTGGAATAGTTTTTTTGATCTTGGGGTTTCTAAAACAACACATGAGTGTTTGCCGCTTACCAAACCAATTGTAAATGATCTTTCTTTTTTAGGTGTCATTATTTTATTACTACTGCTATATAGATTTGGACTTGAGAGTCTACTAGCGCTTGAATTTAATTGTTGTTGTTGTTGTAATAAATTGTGATATGATGGTTGTTGTTGTTGTTGTTGATGTTGATGTTGATTATTATTATGATGGTGTGATGGTGGTGTGGGTTGTGGGGTTGGGGTTTGAGTATCACTATTATCTTCAATATCTAAATTCTCAACAGTAATTGATTGCTGTAAATTATTGCTTGTTATTGTTGGAGAACTTACACTTGGCGAGGTTTCCATTGAAGAGTTTGAACTTGATTGTGGTGATGTAGAGCTATTATTTGCAGAGTTTGGATCAAAACCTGGTAATGGTGTTCTCTTTTTGTTTGATATTTTTGAAAATAATTTTCCTAAAGTTTTTTGTTTATCTTTATCCTTTTCTTTATCTTTACTTTTATCCTTTTCCTTTTCCTTATCTTTTTCTTTATCCTTTTCCTTTTCCTTATCCTTTTCTTTTTCTTTATGATTTTCATTTCTTGGTGATATTGTTGATTTATTATATTGTTGTTTTTCTTCTTGTGGATGTAATGTTTGTAATTGTGGAACAAATTGTTGTGAAGGAGATTCTTTTGGAGTTTGTGGCATTGGTGTAGTTGATGCAGGTGTTAAAACAATTGGAGTTGTAGATGTTGGGGTTGTTATAGGTGTTGATGTTGATAGGGGTGAGGAAATTTGAGAATCTTTTATATCTCTTGGGACTACAATTAAATGTTGTTTCTCTTTTCTTTTTAATAAAACTAATTTTTCATTGTCTTGTAGTTGTGGTGATTGAATTGGTTGATGATTTGGTAAATTTTTGAAATCGTTTACTCTTTCTCCATAAAAGTTTGGAGAAGATGGTTTCTCTGGAGAGGTTACAGGTGATCTACTTAATGAGGTATCATCAACACCAAATTGTCTAAGATTAATTGAACTCTTTGAAATGCTTTTTACAGAGTAAATAATTTTACGCATAGTATCATTAAATTTCTCTATTGCCAACTCTAATTGATCTTGATAAAATTGATCAGATTTGTTTTTAAGAGCCAATCTTGCAATTTGAACTAAACTAACGAAATGATCGGATAAATTTGTGCCCAGTGTTTTATAACGTAGTTCTTTTGAGATAATGGCAATATTATCGGATATTACTTTGGCGGCAATAACAATTTCAGGTGCTTGTTCACTATTACCATTCAATGCAATTTCTTTAATTTTATTTATATTTAAAATGATATTTGCAGTCCCTCTATCGAAATTATGAACTCTTTCATGTGATTCTGTTATTTTACCAGTTGGTACTGTTAGTGATGATCTTGATCCCGGTGAGTTGGTTATATTTTCATTTGATGATGATATACCTTCTTTACTAGCGCCTGTTGAACTTGATAATGATAATGATGATACTGATGATGTCGACGATATTAAAATATTGGTATTGTTTACTGATGATGTTGATGATGCTAGATTATTAGATGAGTTTGATGAAGTTAAATTACCATTACTTGTACTATTACTATTGGAAATTGGAACTGGGGGTAATTCTTTTGGTTGGGGTGTTGGTGGTAATCCTTTAGATAGTTTTCTTTGTTGAAATTGTTGCTGTTGCTGTTGTTGTTTTTGTTGCTGTTCCTTTTGCTGCTGTTCTTTTTGTTGTTGTATCTTTTTCAACTGCTCTTCTTTTTCTTGTTCCAATATTTTTTGTTTTTCTTTTTCTTCTCTTTCAAGTTGTTGTCTTTGTCTCTCTTCCTCCTCTTCCTTAAGTTTTTTTTCTAACTGCTTTTTCTCTTCTTCTTGCTTTAATTTCCTTAAGATTGATTGTTGTTGTTCATATTCTTCTTCTTCTTTTTGCTGTTGTTCTCTTTGTTGTTGTTCATATTGTTGTTGTTGAAGTTGTTGTGGGTAATCAGACTCTTCCTCTAATTGTAAATCTGGATCATAGTAAAGCTTTTCAAAGTTACTGCATGTTGCCATTGCATTCTTTATAGTTTTAATTGCTTCGGCTTTACATTTTGTGTAACTCGATGTTGTTAAATAATCATTTGAATTTAAAATTAATCCCTAAATAAAATAAAAAATTTGATTTGTTGTTAAAAAAAACTATCACTTAATATTGTTTGTTGTTTATTGTTATTACTGCCACCAATACATACCTGAGCTGAACTTATTAGTTCTGTTACTACTTGAAATAAAATTTTTACAACTTCTTTATAATGAGCATGGTAATGAGTAATTTGTTCACAGGATATTGGACACATATCAATAAAATACATTAAATTCTTTACATTATGTTCAAGAGCTAAAGAAGATTCCAAAAATATATTTTGAGAGTTATCGCTATTTTCTTTAACAACTAAATCTATACTACAAACTGTTTTTAACTCTATAATAATCTTCTTGTTAATGCCCTCGAGGTAATTGAAATACTCTGATGGACCTAACTTTGCAATTTCTTCCTCTTTCATTTTATTTATTATATTGTATCAATCTTTTATATTACTCTTTTGATTTACTGTTTATAATAATTTTTATTAAATAAAAAAAATAAAAAAATGAAGATTTTTATATTTTTATAAAATTTTATTATTTTTTTTATGATATGCCAAATATATTATTATTATATGATTAATTATTAAAATTATTGATCTTTTTTTTTTTTTATAAAAAAAAATAAAAAAATATTAGTATTAATACATATATTATTTTAATATGAGTGATGATATTAATAATATTTTGATTATGATTATGATTATGGTGATGATGATAATGATAATGGTGATGTTAATTATAATGATAATGTGATGATAATTAAAATTAAAATTAAACTAAAACCAAAAAATAAATATTTTTTAAAAAAAAATAAAATTAAATAAATTTAAAAAATGTGTGAGATAGATAGATATGTATGATATTACTAAATAGTTTTACTAATATTAAATTATTTTCGAAAAAATAATATAAAATGGTAATATTAAATAGTATATCTGTTATTATAAAATATATTTAAAATAAAATAATAAAATATGATGATTATGATAGTGATAATAATAAAGAAAAGTAATAAAAATAATGATAACAAATAATATTGGATAAATAAATAAACATACAAAGTTTAGTTTAATTTTGCTATTTAATTATTATTTATTATTTTTATTATTTTATTTTGTAATATTGATGGTTAAACAATATGAATGTATGTGTGTGTGTGTGTGTTATTTTATAAAAAAAAAAAAAATAAAAAATAAAATAAACAGTAATAATTTAAAAATAATTTTTAAAAAAAAAAAAATAATAAAATAAAGTACCCACACCCTAACCAAAATTTTTGATTTTAATTAAAATAGAATTAGAATTAAAATAAACTTTGTTTCTGTTTGTGTGTTTATTTTAATTTAAATTTAATTAAAATTATTTTTAAATGAAAAAAAAAATATATATACAAACATATAGATATTTAATAAATTTGGTTTATTTACTGTTGAGTTTTACCATTATTTTATATATAGGCTTTGTATATTTTTAAATAATTGTTTAGTTTTTAGTTAGTTAGCCAATCACAAAAAAATGGAAAAATATTTTTGAAAAAAAAAATTTTAAATAAAATTAAAAAAAATTATATTTTTTAAAAAATTTAATTTAAAAAAAATAAAATAATAATTCAAATAATAACCTTGAGCCCAAAACTAAAAAGTGGCAAAGTAAAAATAGAAATAAATAATAAAAAAAATCTTAAATAAAATAGATTTAAAATAACTAAAAAAAAAAAAATAAAAAAAAAAAAAAAAAAAAATGGTGTGTTTTTGTGGGGTACTTTGTGATGTGTGTTGCTGGGATACATTTACCAGTCGGTAATAAATAAATGAGAAATATAAAAAATAATATGCACTATCAATGGAAAAATTCTAACTATATAGCGATAATATTAGCATTCACAAAAAACTAAATTTAGATATTAGTAATATTTTAATTCCCCATAAAAAAAAAATTGGGGGGGGGTGAGGGGTTGTGTGTGTTATAATTAATAAACTAAATAAATAATTGACAATCAAAAAAAATAAAAAGTACAATGGCGTGATTGCAAATACAGATTTGTGTTATTTTTATAACATAAAAATAATTTAAAAAAAAAATGAAGAGGTGCAATTTACTTTTTTTTTTTTATCTATATATTTTTTCTTTTAATTAATTAGTTTTATTTGATAAATTTAAATGAATTTGTTTTATCTTCTGAAAGTTTGAAACCCACTATTTATGTTATAATGATTTGGAAAAAAAAAAAAAAAAGATATAAATTATTTTATTTTAACTGTTTTATTGTTTTATATATTTAAAATTGAAATGTAAAATTATTTTTCTAATAATTCAGTATACTTTTTATAAATTATTTCCATTTTAATTAATTTGTTTGAAATTTCGACTGATTGGCTTATTGCTATAAATATAAATAAAAAAAAAGATAATTAATAAATCTATATATTTTAGGTTTGATCATATTGGGATCTTACCTTGTTTAAAGTAGCTTTGGGATTGTTTGAGTGAAGATGGGGTCATAATACCAAACCAATATAATGGATCTTTTTTTATAATTTTTTTGTTATTTTTTAATTTCTTTTTTAAGATTTTATCTTTTTTTCTTTCTTCTAATTCGATTTCATTAGAGTTTTCATTGGAGTTATTGGAGTTATTGGTGCTATCATTTTCA